AACTACAAATGATTACCGTAGTTGGTATATAAAAGATCGAAATAAAATAAATTTGTGGGTGAACATATCAGACAACACAGCGATTCTTCAAACAGCTCTTGTTTATTCACAGGCCAGAACAGAACTGAACTGAAGGGTTCAGCAAGCCTGCTTATATAGAGCTCAACTAGAACGCAACAGTAACCATTTTCTGTAACTATCCGATCACTGAACGTCACTTTCGATCTCTTATTTGCATATGTGGACCTGAACTATCTACAGTATCCCCCTGCTGGCCCAGGGTGAGAACTTCAGTACATAACAAATAAAATAAAGAGGAAAATGTCAAGATGACATCCCCACTCCCCAACCTGCGTGGCAGCTGAACCTTCCTTTAACATGGAGGACAGAACATCTTCCACTGTACCTGAGAACTACAGGCTAGTTAGAAGGTGCAGGATAGGGTATTTATTACGGTGGTACCTCGGGTTAAGAACTTAATTCGTTCTGGAGGTATGTTCTTAACCTGAAACTGCTCTTAACCTGAAGCACCACTTTAGCTAATGGAGCCTCCCGCTGCTGCTGTGCGATTTCTGTTCTCATCCTGAAGCAAAGTTCTTAACCTGAGGTATTATTTCAGGGTTAGTGGAGTCTGTAACCTGAAGCGTCTGTAACCTGAAGCATCTGTAACCCAAGGTAACATTGTATTATAAATCAGGGGTCAGCAAACTTTTTCAGCAGGGGGCCGCTCCATTGTCCCTCAGACCTTGTGGGGGGCCGGACTATATTTTTTTTAGGGGGGGGGATGAACAAATTCCTATGCCCCACAAATAACCCAGAGATGTATTTTAAATAAAAGCACACATTCTACTCATGTAAAAACACGCTGATTCCCGGAACGTCCGCAGGCCGGATTTAGGAGGCGACTGGGCTGGATCTGGCCCCCGGGCCTTAGTTTGCCTACCCATGTTATAAATAATAAAGCTGGATAATGAAGTCCCTCACCCCTGCTCTACAATGACTATAGCTCCAACTCCTGGGAAAGTGAGGACTTTTAACTAACTGCCTTCTTTTCCCACTAACATTCAAGACCGGCCCTATCATTAAGCAGAGTGAAGCAACTGCCTCAGGTGGCAGATGCTCAGGGGCAGCCCCTGACTCTTCCTCCTGAGCCCCCGGTAATTGCCCTCTGATGCCACATGGCCTCTCCTATGCCCCCCCCCCAAAAAAATTCAGCCTGCTGCCTCCAGTGTGTTGGAGGATATTACCCCATCACAAGCATTAGATTCAACTGCTGGCCCAGGCAGCTTCTGTGCGTAGACTTGGTAAGGAGCACTGAAAGTAGGTCCTTAAATTTTGCTCCATGGAGCTACTGTTGGCAAGCAGAAACAGACCAGAGTCGCATCAGAAGTAAAATAAAGTGGAAAGATTTTTTTAAATTGAAACAAAGAAATGGTGAAAATATATAATCTCTTCCATTACTAATATATATATATATATATATATATAGATATATATAGATATATATATATAGATGCTTTCGTAGATTTTCACGGGTACAGGAATGCAGGTTTTGGTGTCCTCGGGTGTCTTCCCGTGTAAAAGTTGGGGTGTCTAGGCGACGTTTCGACGAGGTCTCACTCGTCATCTTCAGGCTGGTGCTTTCGGCTTCTTGTTACTGGAACAGAGCAGGATCTCAGTGTTTGAGTTCCTATAAATACTGTTGAGGGGGTGTGGTGTATAGCCTCCAATGTTCTGGGCAGAGAGGAAGTTCCTGGGAACTTCCTCTCTGCCCAGAACATTGGAGGCTATACACCACACCCCCTCAACAGTATTTATAGGAACTCAAACACTGAGATCCTGCTCTGTTCCAGTAACAAGAAGCCGAAAGCACCAGCCTGAAGATGACGAGTGAGACCTCGTCGAAACGTCGCCTAGACACCCCAACTTTTACACGGGAAGACACCCGAGGACACCAAAACCTGCATATATATAGATATATATATATAGATATATATAGAATGCATGAATGAAATGTAAGAGTGCATATTATAAATGGAAAACGAGATCAGATTGGCAAATAAAAATAATTAACCCTTAAGTAAGTAAGTAACCCAACAGTTGCCAATAAAGCATTCATATTCCTAAGCCCTAAATTGCATCCTCCTAAAACTTCCACCAGTCCAAACTAGTTGAAAGCTTACTAAATTCCAGCCTTATAGCAATTTAACAAAGATCAGGAGTGGGAGTGGATTATAACTGCCAATTCAAGCAGGGATCTGAGGAAATGGCTTCTGTGGGCTCAAAGGGAAAGTTGGGAAAGAATCATCCAGGATCCATTGTAAAGGATCCAGAAGGATCCGAGGGGGAAATAAGTTCAGATTAGAAATATGGAGAAATGTTTAAAACTGGATGTCTGAACCTCAGAAGGTAGAATGAAAAAATGAAAAATGATTTTAGAGTTAAAAAATAAATAAAATTTCAAAACTGAATCAATTCAAAACGGTTCATGAGCCAAATATCCAGACCCGAAAAGGCTGGCTCAGAGCAGCTTCAAAAGCTGAAGGAGAGACATGCTCAAAGCATATTCTCTCAAAGGGAAGACAAAAAGGCATGTCACATTCAAAAAGCCCCCAAAACAAACATTAATCTGTTAGCAAAACTTGGAGCTAAACACTTTTTAAAAAATGCAAAGCACAAGTGAGTTCTAACACTGAGAGCAGCCTTTTTTTGACACTCCAAATTTCCTGCATTCTGATTTGTCCTTTTCTCTCGCCCCACATTTTTCTCACCAAAATTCAGTTTCGTGTTTTTAAACATTGAACATCAGCAGAAACCACGTAATCCCAAGCTGTATGGGGGTACGAAGAGCACTGCTAGCGGCCACACATGGAAGAACAAATCCTGTGTCTTCTTCACACAGATGCATGGTCTTGACTTGACAGTGGCCTTATCTGCCTCTCGCATTCCAGACAGAAAAGCATTTCTGCCCTCAAGACAGGGCATTCAGGACTACTACAGCGATGAACCAAAGCTTCTGGGTTCAACATTTCTCTTCCATTCCACTCCAGAGTTTTGTAGGGTGATTATCTTCACCCTGTGTGCAGTTCCCCCGCCCCCCCCAAAAAAACCTGACTTCCCTGAAAGGCTCTACCTCCTCATTTGTCTCAGGTAACAAAATGTCCTGGGCCAGCCCTCTTGACACGGCACCTGGGACAGTATCTCAGTGTCCTTCATTCAGTCCCATCAAGATGAGTTGAACACACACTTCTCTCTCTTCATCTGAAACTAACAGGACTTAAAAGTGGACAAATGAAACTTTTTTTATTCTCTCTCTCTCTCTCTCTCTCTCTCTCTCTCTCTGTTATGTATTTAAGTTCTCACCCTGGCCATCAGGGGTATTGTGTATATAGTTTTCACTCAGGTCCCCGTCAGTTAATTTAGGCGGGAAACCCTGGGATGTTGTTGTTACAGTGTTGACAGCCGGTGTTATGTACTGAGTTGAATAGGATCCAAAATGCAGCAGTCTGATTGGCCCTAGAAAAATAGGATTAAGAATGCAGCTGTCTGATTGGTCCTGAAACAATAGGATCCAGAATGCAGCAGTCTGATTGGTCCACAGGAGCCACCCAATCCAGCTCCAGGTGGAAGTGAATCCACAACCTGATTGGCCTACAGGTGAATTAGCCAATCACGTGGGGCCCATTGTGTAAATAATGTATATAAAGCAGACATTCTGGCGGAACTTCCATTCCTCCTCACCACTCTGAGCTGAATAAAACATGAAATCCACTCTCGACTCCGAGTATATTTCAGCCGGCTGCCTATAAAAGCAGGCCGGCTGAGCTGTTCAGTTCAGTTCAGTTCAGTTCAGTTCCAGCTTACTATAAAGAACCACTTGGAGAAATCTCTGTGTCATCTGCTTTGTCACCCACTACTTAATATCCAATGAAGCTGAATGTTGGAAGATTCAGGGCAGACAAAAGGAAGTACTTCTTCATTGAAGTGTGTAATTGAACTGTGGAACTCATTTCCACAGGAGGCAGTGATGACCCCAGAGTAGATGGCTTTACAAGAGGATTAGAAAAATTAATGAAGAAGAGGGCCGTCGATGGCTACCAGCCATGAGATGGTCGAGAGCCAGTGTGGTGTAGTGGCTAAGAGCGGTAGTCTTGCAATCTGGGGAACCGGGTTCGCGTCTCCGCTCCTCCACATGCAGCTGCTGGGTGACCTTGGGCTAGTCACACTTCTCTGAAGTCTCTCAGCCCCACTCACCTCACAGAGTGTTTGTTGTGGGGGAGGAAGGGAAAGGAGAATGTTAGCCACTTTGAGACTCCTTAGGGTAGTGATAAAGCGGGATATCAAATCCAAACTCTTCTTCTTCTTCTTCAGTTGGAGACAGCAGTGCTCCTGAATACCAGCTTCTGGAAGCTACAGGAGGGGAGAGAGCTCTTGTGCTCAAATCCTGCTTGCTGGTTTTCCACAGGCATATGGTCGGCCACTGTGAAAAGAGGGTGCTGGACTAGATGAGCCATTGGCCTGATCCAGCTGCCTCATCATATGGTCTTTTCTTCCTATAATATTGTTAATAGAAGCCAAAAAAAACTTTGCAGCCAGGAACTGAAGGCAGTTTACTCTCCAACACCCAGAGAAAGGCTTTAGCTGAAACATGGCAGGGTTAGCGGAGCGAGTGCCTGCAAAGTCACACGTTAAATAAAGCTGTTCCTTTTCATTCAAGGTAGCTACTGTCTAACAGTACATAATTAATATCGACTTGAAAGGCAGACTTCCCAAGGGAACCTAAACAAGTGCTGATGCTACACGCCGATAAAAGGAACAATCTGGGTATCTGATGGTCTGTTTATGCCATAACCTAAATGAATATTTGTCAGTTCCAGTTGGAATCTCTTCTGCACAAAATCTTGGCCTTGGAATAAGGGGGAACCTATGGAAGATGAAACAGGAAACTCTGTTGGGTTGGAACGAATCCAGCCTGCAGAAGAAACAGATGGTACCTGCTATTAAACCTTTGTCTTATTTATTGAAAGTATTTCTATACCATTTTTCATAGGAAAGTTTGCACAATGGTTTACAAGCAAGGTGCGGTGTCAAATCAACAAAATGAACAGTACAAAACTGCACCAGATAAAAACGTCGTAAAACATCAAAACCCAGGCAACAGAACAGCATAATCTTCCCATAATTCAGAGTAGGGTAACTAGAGGTACCCTAAGCTTGGCTGAGTAAAAATGTAAAGATGTCTTAGCAATGATGCAACCAAGTATCCCAAATGGTATATGTTGCCCAATAACAGGGAAGGAGAAAAGATAATGGGCAAGTCCATTGGAGAGCATGAGAATGCAAAGTAATGAAAAGCTTTGATTATCAGCCTTGATCATAAAATGAAGAATGTTATTATGTCTTATTGTTTTCCTTTTTAGCTTTGTAAAACTATAAAATCCAATAAAAATATTTAATATGAATAAAATGGATAATGGCTACAGAGCAACCTTGAACTGAACTGTTGTAAGGTGGATAAAGTCCCTATTTGGGCTGACAAAGAAATTGGCAGCGGAAATTCTAAGAAATATACTGGGTGAGGAAAACACAATGGACCTCTAATAGAAATCTCACCACTTCCTCAGTCTCAGAGGTAGTCACAGGAGCTATGTAAAGGGGTATAAAGTAAAGCTATGTTTACAGGGTAAAGAGGATCTGAAACTCAGTAAGTAACAGCGCTGGAATCCTGTTGACTTCACAAACCTTTGGAACTAGACGACCTGAGCTGATCCTTCCTTCCTTCCTTCCTTCCTTCCTTCCTTCCTTCCTTCCTTCCTTCCAAGAAACCCAGCCAAATGAGGAAAGAACATGTTTTAATTAGCTGTCGGCTGTAACGCTAACAATGGAATCAAGTAAATGTTCTTAATTCCTAGCTTTTAATAAATTTAAATACAAAATTTAAATGTTGCATCGCTGGCTAGCAAGCAAACTGGCGGAGCATTAAAGGGTTACAAATTTAGCTGGAATGAACACAAATTCGGATTTTTTGTTTTTGTTTTATGATTACAACTAAGTAATAATCCCACAGGAGACAAAGTTCTTTTCTTCAAACTATGCCAACAAAGTTAGCTGGAGAAAACACACACACACACACACACATGCGAGCCCTTAAGAAACTTAAGAATATATTTGAAATTTTAAGTATTCTTTTTTTAAAATAATAATAATAATGAATTCACCCCACGACACAGGAAACAATAATCAGATGACCTCAGCTCCAAAAATATTCCACTGTAGTGGCTATGCCAGGTTGGAGAGTTCATGTGGAAAATAAAAAGCTTTTTAATGTCTCCAAGTATCAGTCATCACTTCCAGATACCTCTAAATACAGCCATTCATTTCACGCTGCAGGATATTGTATCGAAAAGCAAGGCAAGGCACAGCCAATCCAGCACCTTCCACTGCTAACTCACACACACAGCACACACAAGGACCTCTGGCTAAGTGTGTTTTTCCTATTTGGAACAGGGCTTCTTCAGTGCTGGAGAAAGATTTGTGGAGCGAGCGCTCCTCTTGGATAGGGAAATTATTCACAGCCCTCTGCAATGCAGTCCTAACATTCCATGAGAGCTACATGGCAGAGGTGCTCCTAGTGATTCAGCAACCGCTTCCTTCTGTGATATGCATCAATCTTGTACGGATCAAAGCGATGCATAGCAATAGAGCCGGCCCTACCATTAGGCAGAGTGAGGAAGATGCTAGCGAGAAGGACATGGCAGCAAGGTGTTGGGAAACAGAGCGGTGTGTGCCAGCACTCCCTAGGGTAGTGTGCTGCCCCCACAGGTGCAGTGGAAAACACTGACACACACCCCCACCTCACCAGGGTAAAAAATAATTTAGTAGAGAGGGGGAAGGTATTTGATTCAGTTCACATTTAAAGGCAAAACTACCAAATTCGTACTTTCTTGAAACAATGCCGTTCTCTAGCTAAGCAATGTGTACAGAAATGCTCAGCTCTCACCTGTGGCTCCTAGAAGCTGTCAGCAGGTGTCAGCAGCCACATCCCAGGAACGACTATGACTGGCTAGCTAAACCAGGAGAGGCTAATTGATGGGTCTCAAACCCTCAGTGAGTTAGGGACTTCCACTGCATGTGAAGACGGGATCTGGCAGATTGAGGGAAAGAGACCAATTGTGGGTCCAACGGTCAAGGTAGCCCATCTAGGAGAAGGAGAACTCTGGTCCTAAACACTGAAGGATATATTCGGGAGAAGAAAAGGCTAAGGAGTAAACCCTACACAAATCCTGAGTGGAGACCCTAAGATGGTTGGATGGTGCATTGCATGACTCCTTCCGGCAACTCCTGCAGCCAAGCTGGTTCCAAACGTATTGCTTGGCTTTACTTTGGACCACATCAGCAAGGTTGAGGGTGTGGTTTTGTCATATGGGCAGCCCAGGACCTCCATACACACTCAGACCCTCCAAGTGTTCCTATTTTCCAAGGACGTCCCTGATTTAGAGAAGCCGTCCCAGTTTCTGATTTGATCCCATAATGTCCCACTTTTTCTTAAAAGGTAAAGGGACCCCTGACCATTAGGTCCAGTCGTGGCCGACTCTGGGGTTGCGGCGCTCATCTCGCTTTATTGGCCGAGGGAGCCGACGTACAGCTTCCGGGTCATGTGGCCAGCATGACTAAGCCGCTTGTGGTGAACCAGAGCAGCGCACAGAAACGCCGTTTACCTTCCCGCCGGAGCGGTACCTATTTATCTACTTGCACTCTGACATGCTTTCGAACTGCTAGGTTGGCAGGAGCAGGGACCGAGCAATGGGAGCTCACCCCAACGTGGGGATTCGAACTGCCAACCTTCTGATCAGCAAGTCCTAGGCTCTGTGGTTTAACCCACACCGCCACCCGCATCCCACACTTTTCCTTAGGATGTCCCTATTTTCATCGGAGAAACGTTGGAGGGTTTGCACACTGCCCAGGTTTAGACCCCAGGGAGGTCACTTCACTGCTGCTAACACCCTGGTTTTTGACTTCACCACCAGAGGCGCACTCTTTCAAGACAGACAAATACCAACAACATAAGGACCGTGGGGCATGGCAACGGTTGGGACATTTTCGCTGCTTCCATTCAGTCCTGTAGCTCTTATACCTTGGAATCACGACTTCTGGACCCTGTGCTTATTTGTTGAGCCTGTACTGCCATTAGCCTGAAAAAAGATCTCTTCTTTTGGGACATGAGAGTGGCAGGAACTTGTGTCTAGTGGGCCAATACTGGTCCAGCAGGAGTTCTGATTTGGCATATGAAGTTTTGTTCATATGGAGCCCTGCACTGAGCATGATTGAACCCCAGCTCACCACCTGACGGGTAGGAAATTGAGTCCTGCTTTCAGCTGCATGTGCAGCTGATCCCTTCACTGAGCAGAACTGAACTCTCCTCACCCATCAGCTGAGCCCAAGGCAGTTCATTCCTGCCTTGGTTTGGCTGCATGTGCCAGTTCTCCATAGGGAACTGGCTCACATAGTCAATCCCTGCGCCAAACAGGGCCAATCAATCCCTGGGCATGCCAGTCAATTTCTGCAGAAAGCACAACTGAACTCCCGCTCAGCTGATGCACAGAGAATTTAATACTGCTCAGTTTAGCTGCGGGCACAGTGAAAAATGTTGGAAGGCATGCTCATCTTCCTCAGCCCCTCCCCCCCCATGCGCATTGGGACAAGAACAATTGTGGCCTATTTTACAAGGCTGCTATTAAGGATTGCTGCAAAAATGTGTGTGAGGCACTTTGAACTCTCCCCAAACACTATATAAACTACCCCCACCTCCTCTAGGTAATAAAATCCAGCCACTGAAATCCAAATCTTTGGGAAAGGTGCTGAGTTGCAGATGTTTGCTTCCTCTGTGACATAAATGCTCATGTTTTAAAGTCTAGTTTACACAAGATAAGAGAGCGAACTTGGGCTGATGTTGCTGAATTGTTGCCTGAGGCGCTGCGTGGATGTCAGAGCGCTACCAACTAGGCCTGGAAGCATTAGTTGATTACTCAGTGTGATTAACCAATTAATAGCTTGATTACAGAGTAAATATACAGCTCTGGCTAATTGGAACTGACAACCCACTGGGGGTCTTCGACTTCCACTGCTGGGGCTGACATGTTGCTTAATGCTCCACTTTCGTACTGTGCTGCCTCCCACAGCCCGACTTGCACCCCTAACCTTTCTCCACCCCCTAATGAATAATTGTTTGTCTCCTAACATCTCTGAACATTCTTCACTGTGGCCCTGCCTTGCCTCCACTAACGCCACTCTTTGGTTTCCGGAGTTTGTGAGCATGGAAGGGTTGAACAAGATGCCTCAACAGTCAGGAAAGTATAACGTCAAGACCAAGTTGTGCCAGATAATCTCGCCTGACCACACTGGCCTAATTTAAGGCCTTGGTTTCCCCTGTCTTTTAAGAAAGGCAGCTCAGAGCTTGCACTAGGGGAACGAAAAGAGGAAGTCAAGTGGAAGAGTTATTCTAATGCTGCCATCTTGTGGGGGGAATGGAACATGGAACCGTCTGGCATCTATGGTTTGTCTTCTTGCGAATTTTAGTGCCTGGTTGCTGCGAAAGTGTCTCCATCACTACGGTTTTGCCTGAAGGGGCTGCTCATCAGAGTCAGGAATTTGCAAAAGAACCATAATGGCATTTTAATGGCTGTGAAAGTGACCCACGGGCAATTCACCTGTGGTGTGTGTATCAGATGAAGCTATCTGTTCCCCACGGATGGGCGGATGGGCTACTCCAAAGCCCTGTCTGCGTGGCTGCCTTCACTGTGTTGGGCCCAGGAGGCAGGGCTCTCTCCAAACACTGTTGTGAATAGATTTCACTTTTGTAAAAGGTGGTGGGTGGCTGGGTGGGTGAGTGAGAAAGCTTCAATTGGTGCAATTATCCAAAGCTCTAACAACACCCAGCTGATGCTGGCTCTGGTCTTATCAAATGCTGATGGCCTAGCTTAAATTGAGATGCGTTCTGGGTGGATAGTGGAGATGATGTCACCATTTGAATTCAATTGTTTGGAGGCCAGTCATCAAGCATTAGAGCAGCAACTATTAATTTTAAGGAGAGAATGCCAATATTTGAAAGTGAGCCCAAAAAACCTCCTCGCCAGTCGTCATACTCCAAGTTGAAAACTCTGTGTTTTGGGATAACCTCATTCCTTCTTGCTTTGATATGTGATCTCCTCATTCTGTCCTCATTCTGATCAGTTTCATGGGATTCCCCCTCCCCATTGGGTGCTTCCAGATGAGTGTTGATTGAGGAAAGGCAGCTTCTCAAGCATGTAAATTTTTTTGCAGAGCCTGTAGTTCCCCCCTCCCTTTGCAAAATCTCAGCGACCCATTTGCAATTTAAGCCTGCAACCTGGAAACACTCATTAGTAGTCAATAAAATTCTTCAGTAGGTGCTCTTGCTCAATTGAAAGATGAAAAACTGCTTTTGCTGGACAGCTCTTGTCATGTCCTTTGCATTGCACTTGGCAAAACCGCTTTTTGCGGTCCAACAAGTTTCTTGCAGAACCCCCCAGGAAATGAACAAAGCCTTGGCAAAAAGAGCATGAAAGTGACCAAGTCCCATTTGGTTCAAGGAAGATTCCACACTAAAAATTCCCACGGATGGTGATGGGGCTCGTCCTTCATTATGAAGCTGTGCTTACCACATAAGTCCTTTGCGGGGGGGAAAAAAAGAAGAGGAAGGGGAAACTATTTGTATAGTTAAGCTAAATCCTTTGCTGCACCAATGGCTGCAGACAAAATAGAAGGATTGTTCTGTATTGTTGTAGGGCGCTTTTTGTTGTTGACGTTGTTCTTGTTTCAACCAATAGAACATAGATGGGGAGGCGCTCTACCTAGAAGTTTCTACCATATGTATGAGGCAATGTGTAAAGTAATGTAAAGGTGAATTTGTTGTGCGTGCTCTGGTAGTTTTCCAGCTACTATGTGGAAGTCTCCCCCCGTCAGAGCACCGCGCAAGGAAAACTAGCAGGTAAGAGCAAGCAAAGAGAACAGTAATTGAGTGAGGGGGGCAGCGGCTATTTTAATTAGCAGGTAGCATACAAGGTTATTTATAAATATGCCTCCAGATCAAGAGAGTACAAGAGTGTGTCATTATAAATCAGAATTTTCAGACTGACTCTCACACATCTTAGCACTGATCGTTGCTAAAGTAATTATTCACACAGGTTTTCTGCTTGCAGTTTGGGCCTGCTCTCCTGGAATGGGGTAGAGGGAAGCAAGTGACGTTTTTCCTGGGCCCTGGTGATAGAGCAATAGGACGTGAGCTGTGTGTCAAGCTGTTGTTAAAAAGCAGCAGCAAGCAACCTCTTCTATCAGACTTTACTAACCTGGTGGCCTCCAGAAGGCTTGGACCACAATTCCCATCAGTGCTTCCTGAAGCTGACAGGTGTTGCGTTCCAAAATGACTGGAGGACACCAGATTAGCAAGGGTTGCCCTACCTGAATCTTCATCGGTTTCTTTTTGGATAAGAATCTGGAAGAACCAATAAGAAGGTACACTCTTGTTAGGGGGGGGAGAGTAAAAGATCAGTCCTGGATGAGAGCTGTTGTTCATTGCAGTAACAAAATGGAGCCTCTCTATTCAGCAGCAGTCTCTCTCTGCTCACCAGATGCTGCAAAGGTTCCATGGAGGCATCCTGCTGGCCACTGGCAGAGGCTGAATGAAGAAGATGGGGCTTCTTCTGATGTCTGCAAGGCAATCCTTGATTCCAAACACGTTAGCTGAAGGAAGGGCAACATCTAGATTTGTTTGGAATATCCCTGAAATGTTGATCAGAGGTGTCTTTGTTCCATCAGGTGGACCCTTGGGACAGCCTTTTCGTTGCAATGCTGGTACAAGGAGCAGTGCAGATGTGTGTTTTGGGAGCAGCCTTTCTGCTTGGGCTACCACAGGGTCTAAATCCTGCAGAGGACTTCTCATGGACAAAGCAGAGCCCATCTTCCTTTCATTACAGAGTTTTCCCAAAAGGCATATTCCATCTATGGCTGGTTTTCTTTTCTTTTTTGTTCGAGGGTGGTGAGAGATTGCGAAATTTATCTGTCAACCCAGGATTGCCTGCTTTTTTGAAGACAAGTCTTGTGGCACCTTGAAGACTAACAAATTTATTAGGGCACCTCCAGGCTGTCAGTATTCTGTGGCAGGGATTTAAACACATCCCAGGAACAGAGCTGGCCCATCCATGAGGCAAGAGGAGGTGACCGGCTTGGGCGGCAGTATCCCCAGGGGCAGATCTGGCCTCCAGGGAATGCATCACCCGCTACTGCTGCCACGATGGCAGTGATGACTGCAGTGGGTTTCTTGGAGGTCGGATCTGCCAACTCCTTGGCAGCCCCCTTCCCCAAGCAATTCTCTAGAGCAGCCTCTCAGCCCACAGAAGCTGCTGGTGGTCTCCTCCCACTCTTGTTCCTGATGTAGATCTTCACTCACCCCTTCTTTCCTGACATGCACAGGGTAAGGGGAGAGCCATTTTGTGGTTTGCCTCGGGTGTGAAAATGTCTTTGGCTGGCCCTGCCCAGGTTTGTGTGATTAAAAGTCAATGGAAGTGCTCTGTCATCCCCACTTTTTTAAAAAAAGGAAAAAGAGGTGGGCATTTTATGGTTAAGAAAGTGACAGGGAAACGCATTGAAAAGTGGGGATGAACAAATGACTAATGGGAAGATGTGTAAGCACCCTGCAAGCAACTCAGGGTGAATCTCTTGATCTCCTTGGAGAAGAGGTGGGATATAAATGCAATATCTATCTATCTATCTATCTATCTATCTATCTATCTATCTATCTATCTATCATCTATCTATCATCTATTCAGTGACCATGAACCATAATCTGCTTCATTATAAAGCTTACACCATCATTTATTTTATTTATTTAAAAAGGTAAAGGTACCCCTGCCCGTACGGGCCAGTCTTGACAGACTCTAGGGTTGTGCGCTCATCTCACTCTAGAGGCCGGGAGCCAGCACTGTCCGCAGACACTTCCGGGTCATGTGGCCAGCGTGACGAAGCTGCATCTGGCGAGCCAGAGCCGCACACGGAAATGCCGTTTACCTTCCCGCTAGTAAGCGGTCCCTATTTATCTACTTGCACCCGGGGGTGCTTTCGAACTGCTAGGTTGGCAGGCGCTGGGACCGAGCAACGGGAGCGCACCCCGCCGCGGGGATTCGAACCGCCGACCATGCGATCGGCAAGTCCTAGGCGCTGAGGATTTACCCACAGCGCCACCCGCGTCCCTATACATATAAATTTATGTATATGTGTGTGTGTGTATATATACACACAATGGTGCCTCGCAAGACGAAATTAATTCGTTCTGCGAGTTTTTTCATCTTGTGAATTTTTCGTCTTGCGAAGCACCACTGTATTAAGTCTGCAGTAATTTTAAGAAGTGGCCCCAACATTCTCCAGCAGGCTACCACACCGCGTGCTATGAGTTGCTCCTCGAAAGTCAAGTTCCAACTGCACCTCTAATGCACCCTGGGTATTAACGGTTTTAAGAAAAAGGAAACAAACTTGCAAGACGTTTTCATCTTGTGAAGCAAGCCCATAGGGAAATTCGTCTTGCGAAGCAGCTCAAAAACAAAAAACCCTTTCGTCTTGCGAGTTTTTCGTCTTGTGAGGCATTCGTCTTGTGAGGTACCACTGTATATATATATAAAAATACACGTTATCCCACAATTTCATAGATTTGTTAGTCTTCAAGGTGCCACAAGACTGCATTATTTTTGGTACAAGAGAGTGCCAGGACTGCCGATCTGGGTACTGTTTCCGAAGAGAAGAGATACATTTACTTCAGGGCTGTAATCTAAAATTTAGTCTTTTTTGGAAGGAAAAAAAAATCTGGTGGGCTGGGAAATGTGGCTAATGTGGCTGTTCGTTTTGGGACTTGTTTCCAAACAGGTAGATTTAGTTCAGGGCTGGAGATAACAACAAATGAACCAATGTTGCCAAAATCCAGTGCCAAAAATGTTTAATGTGCCAATCCTCATAAATGCAAGCTTGACAATACTTTGACATAAACAGCGAAAGCTCTACTTTAAAAAAATCTCTTTCTCCAATACCTTTCTCCTTTCTCTCTCCCCCCCTTCTGCAGAGCACACCAGAAACTGTAATAACCTAAGCCAGATTAAAGAATTGGGCACAAACATGCCAGTGCACATAAGGGAATTATTGAGCAACTACAATACGCTGCATAGACAGAGAGCAGTTCCCTGGGCGTCAATATAAACAGCAGTTTGCTATCTGATTGTGGTTTCATACATGCCATCCATTTGAAGCACGTGACTCCCCCAAAGAATCCTGGGAACTGTAACCCTCACAGAGCTACCATTCCCAGCACCCTTACCAAACTACAGTTCCCAGAATTCTTTGGGGGAAGTCATGTACACCGTGGGGGAAATGTCCTATAAACAGAAATGAAATGGTTTGGTGGGACTCCTGTTTGCTGACTTGTTTTTTCCTGTGCTCATTTGTTGATATCTTCAGGGTTCCTCTGGGGTGTTGGCAGTTCTGCCTGCCAAACCGAAGACAAGGATGGAAAAGGCCCAAGTATCTGGGACTCTTTCGGGCACCAAGCAGGGAAGGTCTTTATGAACCACACAGCAGATTCGTCATGCAAAGGCTACTATACTGTTAAAGTAAGATTCCTCCCCAACCCTCCAAATTTTCAGGACTGAATTCAGTAAGCAGGATGCTGTTGGATGGCTCACTAACCTAACTCAGCCTTGCAAATCTCCAATTTGTAGCAAGACCTGTAGGATGTTTTTAAAAATGTGAGCAAAACTAATTTATTTCCCCCTCTGCTTGTAGGATGACATTCAGCTGTTGAAAGAACTGAAGGTTAATCACTACTTGTTCTCAATTTCCTGGCCTCGTATTTAGCCCACAGGGATTAGATGTAAGCCTAATGTTTTGGGGTAACACGTCAATATTTTCCTACAATATGGCAACTAACTGATGGTGTGGGATTTGGTGGTGATCCCCCCTCTCCATACATGTATCGTACTAGACCAAGAGGGAGCTTTCAGTTTTTGTTTTTGCTGCATGATAAACCACTCTTGAAACTGAAAGAAGTTTCAGGAATACAGTGGTACCTCGAGTTAAGTACTTAATTCGTTCCGGAGGTCCGTTCTTAACCTGAAACTGTTCTTAACCTGAAGCACCACTTTAGCTAATGGGGCCTCCTGCTGCCGCCGCGCTGCTGGAGCACAATTTCTGTTCTCATCCTGAAGCAAAGTTAGCAGAGTCTGTAACCTGAAGCGTATGTAAGCCAAGCTACCACTGTAGTTTGTGATAGAACATGTCAGTTTTTGGTTTTTTTGTTTTGTTTTGTTTTGTTTTGTTTTGAAAGCAATTTAACACATTCCATTGGGTGACTGCAAACACTTATGTGGGCCAAAAAAGTTCTTCTGCCCCATATATTAGGGTCAGTTTATGTATTTCCCTCTGAATTACATTTTAATATTGAGATCCTCTCTTATTCTCCCCCACCCCATCCCACCTGTTCACAGCTCAAGTGAATGAGAAAGGCATAAACTTCTACAATGATACCATCAATGCACTCTTGGAAAACAGGATTGTTCCCTTTGTAACACTCTACTACTGGGATCTGCCTCAGGTTTGAAGGAGGATACTTTGATAATGTGGGTTGGGTTGGGGAATGACAACATTTTAAAATGTATTTTTTAATTGACCCAGCCCAGGAAATCTTAAGTTATATAAAGGAAAAATAAAAATACTGTGCATGGGTATATAAAAGCATCTTGGAGTTTACTTGGAGTTTGCAATTATTTTCCCCATTTCTTTGCAAATGCATTTGTTACTTGCTTATTAATAAATTAATGGTGGTGGTGGTAATAATAATAATAATAATAATAATAACAACAACAATAAATCTAGTTATTACCAACCATTCAACCCTGAGGTCCCAGATAAGTTACAGCATTAAAAACAAAAGAAATGTACAACCTTAAGGATAAGATGGGTCCCAAAAACATGCCCTCCCATCAGATGTCAAAGAAATAAACCACTACAGTGGTACCTCGGGTTAAGAACTATATTCATTCTGGAGGTCCATTCTTAACCTGAAACTGTTCTTAACCTGAGGTACCACTTTAGCTAATGGGGCCTCCCGCTGGCGCTGCATGATTTCTGTTCTCATCCTGAAGCAAAGTTCTTAACCCGAGGTACTATTTCTGGATTAGCGGAGTCTGTAACCTGAAGTGTCTGTAACCCGAGGTACCACTGTATCTGGCTTTTAGAAGACATCTGAAGGCAACAGTGTATCGGGAAATTTTTTAATGACTAATGTTTTACAATTCTTTCATATGCTGTAAGCTACCCAGAGTGGCTGGGGAAACCCAACCAGATGGGCAGGGTATAAATAAATCATCATCATCATCATCATCATCATCATCATTATTATTATTATTACTACTACTACCCCAAGTGTCAAAAGCCAGGGTAAAGTGGGGGTATCTTCAGCATCCTCCAGAAGCTATACAGTGGTACCTCGGGCTAAGTACTTAATTCGTTCCGTCCTTAACCTGAAACTGTCCGTTCTTAACCTGAAACTGTTCTTAACCTGAAGCACCACTTTAGCTAATGGGGCCTCCTGCTGCCGCCGCGCCACCAGAGCACAATTTCTGTTCTCATCCTGAAGCAAAGTTCTTAACCTGAAGCACTATTTCTGGGTTAGCGGAGTCTGTAACCTGAGGCGTATGTAACCTGAAGCATATGTAACCTGAGGTACCACTGTATAATGAAGGTGCCAAACACACGTCTGCGGGTAGGGAGTCCCACAGATTACTAGCTGCACTCTTCCAGACTGCCACCCCCTGAGCCTCTGAGGGTGGAGGAACTACAAAGAGATTGACAGAAGAGTTCAGATAGAAAAGCAACTGTGCATACCTGCCCATAGCAATCCAATATGGAAGGAATCCTTAAAGACTTCCAATAAGCTGTTGCAGTATGTAGGATTGACATTGGCTCCCAGCAGGATTCTGAATGATAACAGGTAACAGGGGTGTGCTAATTCCAAGTGGTAGCATTTCACTGCTTTTGTAATATGCTACTGTTAAATTAGTACTGTTGTAGTACAGCAGGTCAGGTGTGTGTTTTGTTATCCTGCTCTGAGCAATCTCACCCCCTGCAACTGATGGCCTTTGGCTAAATTCTAAAGATTTGGCTTTAAGACGGATGGAGTGACACAGCTTTTTTTTAAAGTACAGTGGTACCTCGGGTTAAGTACTTAATTCGTTCCAGAGGTCCGTTCTTAACCTGAAACTGTTGTTAACCTGAAGCACCACTTTAGCTAATGGGGCCTCCTGCTGCTGCCGCCGCACCGCCAGAGCCCAATTTCTGTTCTTATCCTGAAGCAAACTTCTTAACCTGAAGCACTATTTCTGGGTTAGTGGAGTGTGTAACCTGAAGCATATGTAACCTGAAGCGTATGTAACCTGAGGTACCACTGTATTAATCTTGCATTTATTAAATCAAGAGAGAATGTTGGACACTTTCAAAACTTTTAGCGATTAAAAAATTTCTTGCACACATGCAGGTACTTCAAGAAAAACACGGAGGGTGGCAGAATGCAAGCATGGCAAGTTATTTTAAGGATTATGCAGATTTGTGTTTTGAGAGTTTTGGGGACCGGGTGAAGCACTGGATTACTTTTAACAACCCCATGGTAAGTGCCAACTTCGTCCAGAAAGAATGCCACATTAAAGCCAAACATTAACGCAGAAACTTAAGACAAGGATCCAAAGATCCACACAAACAGTGCAGTGCCGTAGCAGCAAGGATGGAGGTTTCTCTAACAGCAATATGCGGCATAATGGCCAGAGCTTGGAGACAAGAGGAGAGCTTAAACATTATGGCATCAAGTTTTCTGAGTGTGAGGAAGTTTGTGCTTTTTTAAAAAATAAATAAATAAGGTTAACATTTCACTAGGACTCAAGATTATAGATGCATAGTTGTTAAGTGCACCTCAATCTCCGAGCGCCAGGCGATCACAGAGGTCTCTGGGCATACCTTGGGTTATGGTTTCCTTAGAATGATCACTGGAAGCTATTGGTGGTCTTTGTGATACATGGCTTTATTTGTACATGCATACAGGCTGAGCTGAAGGTGGAAGGTCTCTGTAGATCTTGCTTCCCCCTCAAGCCATTCCTTTATGCTTCTTCCAATCCCACTTCAACACTGCCTGTTCTTTGTTCTCCTTCAAACACAAAGACCTTGATACCACCTTCAGCCAGGGAAGTATAGCTTCCCTTTTGCATATCTTATGTAATTCCCATGGCCACCACTTACGTGTATTCCTTACGGTTGCAAAGAGACCATCTAAAGCCATTAACCTGCAGTACTTTTTCTCTGCAGGAAACCCTGAAACCCTAAAGATATCACAGGCTTGGCGGTGACTAGTTTCCCAATTTAAAGGCTGCAGTCTTAAGAGTCTTCTTCTTTGCAAGATGTGTGTTATTCTATCAAGTTGGAAACACTGTAAAACATTATAAGCACACCAGAGCTTGTCTTTTGCTGGTTCACATGAGCATGTATGACCTCCAGCATCAATTGATTTGCATCAGAGAACAAGACTCATCAGGTCACTAAAAACAACTTTTCTATCAAAGTAAATGCAATGCTTTTCAATTGAGAGAGCTCCCTAGAGTCAGCTGCAAGTTATCCAGTGTGATGAAATCAAGAAATTACATATACCTACGTGAAAGCTAACTACCAAACAATGGATGAATGCATACAGGCATGACATTTGGTTTACACCAGGGATGGATAATCCCTGTTCCCCAAGTGTTTTTAGGAATACAACTCCCATTATCCTTAGCTGTGTGCTAGCTAAAACTGATGGAAGCTAGAGTCCAACATCTACATGGCCACAGCTTCACTATCCCTGGGTTTTTAATAAACCTTAACTGGAACTAGCTGCAGTTGGAAGTGCCATTATATCAAACAAGGGTTTAAAGGAGCACCCCATGGGTACGTGTTGGTTTGGGCTCCAGTGCTCAGCAGAACTTGCAATCAAATTGTTTCTAGCCTTTTAACATACAGTGGTACCTCAGGTTACATACGCTTCAGGTTACATACTCCGTAACCCAGAAATAGTGCTTCAGGTTAAGAACTTTGCTTCAGGTTGAGAACAGAAATCGTGCTCCAGTGGCGCGGCAGCAGCAGGAGGCCCCATTAGCTAAAGTGGTGCTTCAGGTTAAGAACAGTTTCAGGTTAAAAACGGACCTCCAGAACGAATTAAGTACTTAACCCGAGGTACCACTGTACTAGCACTGCATTCTATAACCACAAATATTTGAATTATCTTGGATCACTCCAGCTACCCTTAAAATATATACACTGGGTGTTGGTTTTTGTTGCCTTAGGAACCCAGCTGCAATTTCAGTGCAGCAAAATGCACCCATGGCTCTTGGAACAAGGACAGCTCTGCCTTTGATACACATATCAATGAAGACTTTCTCTTTTTGTTTATAGGCACAATATGGAAACCCACTCATTTATGTGACTGAGAATGGCGTTCCAGAAAAGCTACTGTACGCTCAGCTGTGTGATGAATGGAGAATCAGTTATCTTAAGGGGTATATTAATGAGATGCTAAAAGGTGAAGTTTAATAATCACGTAAAGCAAATCAAGAACAGGTATCAAGTCTCACACTTGACAAAACCATATGGTCCTTTCTTTCAGCTACTAAGGATGGTATTAACATACAGGGTTACACTGCCTGGTCTCTACTGGATAAATTCGAATGGGAACAAGGTTATTCTGAGAGATTTGGACTCTACTATGTTGACTTTCAATATCAGAACAAACCTCGATACCCAAAAGCTTCAGTTCACTATTATAAGGCAATAGTTGAAGCAAATGGATTTCCTAACCCAAGGGAGGTAAGGCCACTTTCTGCTAATTTTTTGCTTTATGGGGAAAGACAAAATTGATCAGGTCTGAAGCATCAAACAAGCATCCCTTGGCTTGGAGTTTGGCAACCATGTTTCCTTCTAAGGAAAGAGCATAAGAGCGCTGCTGGATCAAACAAAAAACCTTTTATGTTCCAAAAAGAATGAAGTCTCAAGGCTGATGTAGGGAACCCAATGTCTCCAATGTGATGTAGGGAACTTCATCTGCCTAAGTTGGGTTTATTGTTGGGACTCCCATCAGCCCCAGCCAGCATGGCCAACTGTCGTAGATAAGAGCTGGAGTCCCAGCAAACACCCAGAGGGCCAACGGTTCCCCATCCCTGACTTGGGCAGACTAAGAAAGTTTCCCTGTATCACACTGGACAGCAGCTTTGATAATTTATTGCCTTTTCACACACCACAGCAGGGAGAGCCAATGTTGTGCACTCCAGATTTTTGGACGACAGCTCCTGACATTCCATGCAAGATGAGGATGGTGGAAGTTGTAGTCCAAAACCTTTGTAGAGCTCCATCCATGCTGGTTATTCTCTGCACTCATGGTTTCCTTCAGCGTTAGAAACTGAGATATGAAAGCTAGGCTTAATAGCACCTTAAACCTAAGTTATGGGTGCAGCAATGGAATGTCTAGGCACACTTTTTTATAACAAGAATACAAAGCTGAAAATGAACTGCAGCTAAAACCTTATATTCATTTTTCACATGGTCTAGTCCTCATCTGAAGACTGCAAAAAACAAAGCCCCACATCCCCTGTCCACCCCCTTAATAGTCTTATGAGGATCCCTCAAAACGCTGCCTTTCTGTAAGGCCGGCTGAGAGGCAGAGCCTTTCAGTTTGCCTGGTGCTGTGGTGATTTCTTGGAAGTTGAGCAGGCAGGAATTTCTCCTCCCACGCCCTCAGCACCAGCAGTGGCAGTTTTAATCTGGAATCTTAAGTGCAGTACTGTGCCCCGAGCTCAGAAATTGCTTGCACTATTGAAATTCCCAGTCGCAAAATGAGCCTAGAACAATGGGAGTTTCGAACACTGGTTTCCTTCAAGCACAGTAGCTAGTTCCTCACCAAACAGGTGTTTTTTTAATAGCACATTGAAATAGCACATAGACTAATCTTTAAAGAGCACACTGCTCCTTTCCAGCTCTATTAATTTATAGCTAACAGCGATTTGGCAGGTGGAGAACTGGCACCAGAAGGCCACTGAAGTCTGCTCAGCCATAAACCAACTCCTTAGTGCAGGTAACTTGTTTGAACTGCCCAATGATGATTCATCCAGATCACAAAGATTGAGTTGTAGCAGTAATATAGATCAATACACTTAAGTTTCAGTTTTGCTTTTAGAACTTTGCTCACTTCAGAAATTATGACGTATGTTTAAGAGAATCTTAAGTCAAGTAGGGGAATATGATGTAGAACGATTGTGGTTGTGCACTCTTACCTTTAAGGGCTAGTACAGAAAAAGTCATGGGTGCAGCCATCTTAGTGTAACATTTTTTCCTCGCTAGAGACACATCGCACAGCACTATGGAAGCTGCCTCCCAGCACTGAGCAAGCACCGTCTGAGGATAGTTAGTAGTGATGGGGGAGAGGGTCCTCTGCTATGTGTGCACCAGAATGGCAAATGGTGAAGCTGCTCCAAAGACTGACAACTCTTTCTTTCCCTTTCTTTAAAAATTAAGAGTAACAGCAGAATACTGTTGCTAATATACTCAGACAAATTCACAGTAATAGGCACAACCCATTTTTGTTATCATCTGAGCATTCACATGCTTGCAGATTCTGCTAAAGGGGGGGAAAGACAGGAATCTAGAATTGGGCTTCCTTGTGTTTCAAAGTTCTTATGGGAGTTGTTGACATTTGTTCATAATTCCAACTTAGTGCAGAATGACAACAATGCTGCTCAAAAGTAGTTTTTGATGAAAATGCACAGCTGTACTTATCTAGCCCCCACTCTTTTCTCAAATTTCAGAGCCTTTGACAACTCATTTGGAAATGGTGGCTGGGATTGTTGTGCCAACAGTTTTCACTCTCTGCATTCTCATAAGTGCTGTTCTACTGCTGATTCTACTCAGTAAACATCATTAACAAGCTTTTCATAAAACATCTTCATTTGAAAAATGTTCCCACCCATTTATTTCTCCATCTATTGGCTAACCAAAGTTCATCTTTTTGCTGACTTTATCAGTCATCTTTTAAATCAACACTTCCTTTGGGTCAATCGCGAGCGAAATAGCTGTACCCATTAATTCAGTGAGAACACTTTATAACAAAGCAGCAAATTTTTATTTTACATTCATAACCTATCTTTTTTCCAATATGGAACTCAAGCACCTTTGGCAAGGTGGCTGCATCATGTGCCTTCAGACTATGCTGTGGGACTTAACTAGACACAGCAATCTCTGATCTAAATTAGGAGAGGAATTTAACATATCGTTTGTCTGCTTCTGAAGTAAAAAGTGGCCTTCAAAAATTAAGAAAGGCAACATAAAAATGGCCCTTCTGGAATATATAAATACAGTGGTGCCTCGCAAGACAGAAAACCCACTAGACGAAAGGGTTTTCCGTTTTGGAGGCGCTTCGCAAGACGAATTTCCCTATGGGCTTCCTTCGCAAGACGAAAGACAATAGGGAAATCTCCGGGACAGCGGGGAAGCGCAGCGCGTCTTCCCCACTGTCCTCGGACCTCCTCCGAAGGCTGGCGGCGGGGCGGAGAGACCTCCTCCCGCCGCCAGCCTTCGCTTCTCCGCTATCCCGGACGGCTTTTGAAGGCAGGCGGGGGGGAGCAAAGACTTTCGCCCCCCCCCCGCCGGCCTTCAGAAGAGGTCCAGGACCTCTTCTGAAGGCCGGCGGGGGGCGAAAGTCTTTGCTCCCCCCTGCCTGCCTTCCCGGGGACTTTTAAATCGCCCTGGGACAGCGGAGAAGTCCTCCGCTGTCCCGGAGTTTTTTAAAATGCTGGCGGGCGGCAGCGGAGGCTTTGCTCCCGCCCGCCAGCATTTTAAGATCGCCCCGGGACAGCGGAGAAGTCTCCGCTGTCCCGGGGTTTTTTAAAATGCTGGGGGTGGGAAGAAAAGCCCTTGTTCCCCCCGCCCAGTCTTCAGAAGAGGTCGGGGGACAGACTGTCCCCGGACCTGGTCTGAAGTCGGTTTCCATAGGAACGCATTGATTGATTTTCAATGCATTCCTATGGGAAACCGTGCTTCGCAAGACGAAAAAATCGCAAGACGACAAAACTTGTGGAACGAATTAATTTCGTCTTGCGAGGCACCACTGTAATATCCAAGAAGAGTTCAATGTTGAAAATCCCACACTAAACCTCACTTGCTGCTGCCCAAAATTCCAGCTTGTAAAAGAAAGAACTTAGCTTGAATTAGACTGATTGGATGACAGTTGTTGGGTTGTTGTGTTTAAACCTTTCTTAGAGATCAGGACAATACTTGTGGTCCTACCCTGTGATATGCTTCTGGAATGATGTAAAATTTGAAAAGTGTAACAAACACTGGGATCCACCAGTCTAAAGTCTTTTCTGATTAATTTAGCAAAAATACAACCTTTTGCTGAGGCTTTCATTAAGAAAATGTTATTTGAATTATAGAGAATTAGGTGCCAACTGGTTCAGGGTTACTCAATAGCGAAAATGAGCATTTTTTTTAGTAGGTTACCTGTCAATAGAAGTGTCTTGCTTTTCAACACAGTCCTCACTACCTCATTTTTCACTGCCACTCTCCCCGACATCCCCACTTTTCCTTTGCTAGCCCACAACCCTCCTCGCTTCCTCTCAGTCCCATCTACCTAACATAAATTCCAAGTATTGTGGACAAATGAGTATATTAACTTCTGGCACACTGTAGACACTACATAAATGTTTACCAGGAGCAAAGAATAAACATTAAACTTTAAGGCTGCAGCTCTGCTTCATGTATTGACTTTGGTACAAAGCTGGAGTGGAGTCCAACTGTCCACTTATCAGGAACATCATCACCATCATTTATTTATTATTTCTACCCCGCCCATCTGGCTGGGTTTACCCAGCCACTCTGGTGGGGGGTTTCCAATAAAAGATTAAAAATACATTAAAACATCAGGCATTAAAAGCTTCCCTAAACATAAGGAAGTTGTCTTATATAGAGTCAGAACGTACTATCTCAGTACTATCTACGAATCTTCAATGGATCTATTGGCGGTTACTAGACATAAGCACAATTTCAGTGTCAAGAGGCCTGCGACTAATAAATTTCAGGAACACAGAAAGCTGCCTGGTTCTGGGGTCAGATTATTGGTCCGTCCAGCTCAGTATTATCTATACTGATTGGCAGTAATCTCTCTCAAAACTTTCTGCATGCAAAATAGATCTTACTCCTGCTATCTGCTCAACTGCATTTTTACTATTGTATTGGTTTTAATAACTGTCTTATGTAGATTTTATATTTGGCTATTATTAGATGCCCTAGGCTCTTATGGGAAGAACAGGAAATACTGCCATTATTTTATGTAAAGTACACCTGAGAGCACTCGGTGAAGGTAATAAAACACATTTCTTTACTGCCACCATCTTCAGTATCATCCAGAACACCTGCAAGACCAAAGAAAAGTGGTGACAGGTAGAGAAACCACAACAAGTGGATCATGAGGTGCTACACGGGATGTTAAGAGCAAAACATTGGACTAATCCATGAAGCTTTTTTCTGGTTAAGTAAAAGGGGAGACTTCTGTGTTTTCCATGGGCGGGGGGCAGGGACTTTCTCAGGTTTGGAAGCTCCCAGAGCGAAGGAATAAGCTGAACTATGCAATTCAAGAAACCCGGAAACTCACTGACACGGAACACTTTCTTGCACAGAAAAAGAGGACAGAAGCCCATCCACAGGATCTTAGTTAGAATAACTAAGACAAACTGGTCCCTAGGTAGAATGTGGAGAACCTGGTCTATCTAGGATGTTCTTTCCAGGAGCAAAACGTCCAATGTTTTTTCAGAGAATCTCTGAACAATTTGGGATAAAATCTGGATCTGACATCTACATTCTGGTGGTAACCTTTATCTTAACATCTGACCTCCACTACATCAGCCATAGCTGGAAGTGAAAAGGTGGTATTTCTCCCTTTCTGAAGACCTCAAAGCAAAGCCATCAAAATTAATCAACCCATCAGCTGCATGGCCCTGACTGTAACCAATAAGGAACTTCTTTCCAAACTCACTGAAAAACTATAATGCCTCTAGAGTCTACGAACTAGTTTGGGGAGTTATTTGAGCCAGCGCCCTTGTTGTTTACCTTTCCTCAGTATCACACATATACTTCATAGAAAAAACCCATCTTCTTCTCTTTCTACAGAACGACACTCCTGTAAGCTACACCCCAAAAATTCCCTGCATTTTTGGAGGCCAAAAGGAACTGTAATCAGTGATCTCTCATACATATAAATAGCCTCTCCCTTGCTGATATGCAAGTCTTCACACATGCCTCAGGTCTACCCATTTAAACCACATGTAAGATGCGTCTGCATTGGCAATCACCAGTCTGCCATCAGCTCCAGTACTGGAAAATAAGATTCCCAATAATAAGACATTTGCAAGGCAGGCTACAGGAAGTGGAATGAGGCAGAGTGGGGAGAGACAAAGAAGCAAATACAGACACTGAAATTCAGATCATAGAGACCCACTCACCTACACTGCTTGAGCTCATGTGTTCAGCTGGCACTGTGGTGCTCAGTTGCCATATTGTTTTCACTTTTTTCTCTCCTTGCCCACTGCTGATTTCCACTCTCCACACTTGAGGATTTGCACTGAAGGACAGTCAAGAAGAAAGCCAATTATAAGACAACCTGGCAGTTAATGCTCTACAGGCATTTAAATTCCAGGGTTCAAATACTGAGGCTTAGCTTACTTTTGGTAGAACTCCTTCACAAAAGTTGTTCTGACTGGTAGCTGAAATACATTATTTTCATTCAGGGGGTTTTCCTTGTAGTAATTTATACAGGACCTAGGAAAAGAGAATTACTTTGAATATCAGCACTCTGAAGAGATACCCAGGGAATGTTAACTATTGATCCCTACAAAGTAATTCCAAACCAGCTACATCCTTAATCTTTACAGTGATCAGCTGGTAAAAAGGTATGAGATACACTCAGGCAAAGCACAACCTATTTGGAAGCTATTTTCATAAGTGCCAGAGTGAACAGGAGTTGTGCAAAAAGCACATTCATGCTGAAAAACTTAGGGGCCTTTACAGGAAACAGCAGCAACAGAAATCCCTTCAACTGATTTTTGATTTCTTAAATAGGAGCGGAGATACACTTTAATTTAGAGCTGTGGTTGTCAAAGTGGCTGGTACTGTCCTCTGGAGGGCGCTAAAAGGCAAGGGGGCAGCAGGGGGCCAGTGGAAGTGTAAAAGGCCATCAGATTTTGAAAAGCTGGTAGCATCATTATAGTTGAATTAACTGAACTAAATAGTTTTATTGGATTTTGAATAAATGTGCTGTGTTATTGTTTTGAATTTTATTGTGCTGTTATCTTCCTTAGTAGGTTGTACAAGCCACTATTCTGAATAATGGTTTTTATAGAGTAGGTGGCACTGGGTATTAATTTATGTAACCATGGAGTTGGTGGCATGAAAAAAAATTGGGAGCCACTGATTTAGAGCTTAGCTGTTAAAAATTAAACAGTACTCCCCTCCCCTTTAGAAATATATTCTATGGCCAAAAACTTGACACACAGCAACTTGGGTGTCCAAGAGTAAGACCTCAATAATCCAATCATTATTATATATTTGCCCCAATATGTATTTGTGGGCTGCACTCTCTTAAAACCACTTACAAATGGAGAAAGGGGTTAGCAGCAGTTTACAATATGATACACAGGAAAATAAAAAGGGTTAAATAATAATAATAATTTATTATTTCTACCCCACCCATAGTGGGGGGATTGGGATTGCAGCCTCCATCCTCAATTAAGATGGCCATTTTCCCTTTCCACATATCAGTATTCCAGAGAATTCACTTGTCCTTGCTATTGAGATTTGCTGGTAAACAATTACTGTGTCAAGAAGATGAGGTTCTCTTGCTCAAGTTTAAGAAGTTCTACACAGTTGTCCACGATCTCTAACATATGGTGGAGTTTCTGGATGCGCTGAACCTGCTCCTGCAGATCTACTGAAGTTGACATGAAGTAGTCCTTCAAGACAAAGAGGTGGCAAAGAACAAAAATCAATAGCTTTTAAGAGAGACACCAAATATATATAAGTTGCTGGGTTAAGACAGAATGCAATGCAAACACTTCAATACATGCAAGACAGTGCTCACCCCTACTTTACTCAAGAAAGACTAAGCCAAAAGAATTGCTGCAGTTCCACTCATAAAAGGTCTAGTTCGCTCATCATAGTAAACCATAGTTAATGGTTTACTGTGAACAGCTGCTTTGCTCCCCCCGTTATCATGTGGAAACAAACCATGATTCTTGGCCTAGTGTTCTGTCCAAACTAGGGATCATGGTCTGCCCCACTCCCTTAAACCCCTGAACTATAACCAACATTTGTTTTTGGCTCACTGACTATAGTCTGTTGGGAATGAAACAAACCACCATCTCCTGTTTGGAAACTATGCTAAT